CCTTTCATAGCTTGTCATTCAGCGTTGGTCACAGCGCCTCTGAGCTGAAGCCTGCTGGGACCCCAGGTGGGCAGCGGATGAATCCGACGGGACTCCCGAGGCTGCCGCTCACTGTACTGGGGAACTGACTTGTATTTCTATCGCACCTTTTCAGTTGTGCAACCAACCGACGCGTTTGCCGCTGCATTCCACACTCCCTCACACACCGACGTATCTTGCCCAGAGACATTTGACCTTGCTGACTGGAGAAGCCTGTCTTCCTGGACAACCCGGCGGGAGGAGCGCGTCCCGCTTGTTGTGCCACTTAGTGGAGTTCACTTTCTGTTACACACCGACCAGCTGCTCTAGAGATACAAGAATGTGTAGGTTGGAACAGTGAAAGGTTGGAATCATTTGGCATTGTGAACCAGCGCATTGTAGACTCAGCCAGTTCCAATGTGCTGCCTGCGATAACGGTTGGAGCGGGTGGAGGAGGGTGGAGAAGGGTGTCCATGATGTTTTTGGCCAAAGGAATGCGTTCTCTAGTTATCTGAAAACTCTGGTTTCTGTCTTATTTCCAAGAACTGGCAACATGCCACAGTATACAGATTAGTTTTTGTTCAGTCTACATGTTTAGTCCCGGGGAATTAATTGTGTTGCCTGGAGAACTGGATGTTCTTTTAGACATTTTCATACATTTTCGGGCCGGAGAAGATTTCACACTATAAGATTAACAATGAATCCACGATCATTTTTTACATTTTATTGTATCATTTGTCAGAAAATTCTGATGCTTATTATATTATGTTCAACAGCTGACAAACCTAAAATAACTATTATTTGCATGTGACCTGTTGGAAGATCATTATTGTATCCAGCAGACATCTGTGCAGATTAGTATTGTGGTTTTGTCTCCTCCCTGTTTACAGGCTGTTTGGAAATACGACTCTTCCAACCACTTTAGCCATTGTGAATTGTTATAGACAGGTAATCATTGTTAAATACAGTGAGTCAGGTGCACCTTTGTATGTCAAGGTGCACGGTGGTCGCTGATGACTTGGATCAGGGAGAAAGTCTCTTTCATCACTGAAACGTATCCAGATGAACAAATGGCAGATAGTGAAAAAAAACAACGCATCTATTGGAAATGTGCCGCGTGGACACATAGAAGAGATTAATATCGGCTTTCTTTGTCTGGCTGTGTACTAAAATGACAGCCAATTCACCACAGGGATGTAGAGGAGAATTCGCAGAGTGGGGATGAGGAATGTGAGCGGTTGCGCTTCCACCCCCCATGTCGTCCAACAGACCCAGGGACAGTTATCAGGAGGATCTCTGCTTGCTTTGCTTTTGTAAATGAATCGGCTCTTCTGTTGACAAAGCCAGTTGAGGGTCTCCTTTGTGTTTCGGAAGCACAGGACTTCACCATTACCCAGAGGAAGAGCTTAACGTGCACACACAGAACATTTTGTTTTCAGCAAATGGTAAGTGCAGTACAAGTACTCAGGAAAAGGACATATAGTACCAGTCAATAATCAGTGTTATCATCGTCACTGGAATGGGCAGCCTTTGCTTTAGCCTGATGCACATCAGTGAGGCTAATTGTATGAAACTGTTCATTTCATACACTGCTTCTTAACAATATACATACACAAGAAGAGACACCGGACATGTAGAGTCAGTATTTGTTGCCAAATGCCATTAGAATGCAGAAAGCATGTAGTATTAATTGAGCCCTCCACGTTATTTGTACAATGATATTGTACATTGACATTGTACTCGTGTACTTCAATAAATGCTGTTTGTGGACACTATGTCCCTGCCTGTCATTTGTATTAATATAAAATAATTGAAATTGAATGAATAATACTTAATTGTACTTTTCCTAGTGGGCTCTTGACATTTCTCATAGCCAATCTAACCAGACTCCGTCGACATGATGTCGACAATAAAAGAATAAAAAGGAGGCATGTTTTACGAGGTCTCCTTCCTTCCTTCCACTAACAGTAGTGTTGTGAACTGAAATACCCATATTTGGGTGCATTTTGTGGGTTAAGCATTACATAAGTGAATGATACACGTCAGATTAAAAAACAATAATAAATAAATAAAGAGCTGTTTGCAAAGAAGTCCGAGTCATTTCCTGTATTTATACAAGAAAAGGGAAACAAACAAATCGGAGGACGTTCTGGAGAGAAAACAAATCATTCAGTGCAAACAGAGGATGAGTGGAAGGGGTTGCAAATGAAATCATATCAACTTCACTCGGATCATTTGTACCCCTGAGTGTTGCAAAAGCAAAGAGGCATAACATGCTGTCAAGAGCTCATGAGACAGCATCGGCTGGAAGCAGTGAGGATAGAAACGGTCGTGCACGTGTTATACACTGTTTATACAGCTCGCGTGTTGAGCGATGTTCCACAGGCTTCCCTAAATGTCCTGTGGACGGAAGAATGTGAAGCAAAGTCGAATTTGAAGCAGCACATCCCGCTAGAAAGGTCACTCTTCTGTGCGTACGCAGGATTCGGTTGCTGTTGAAATAGATGCAATGTACATACACAGCGGGGCCGTGAGCGTTTCTATGGTTACGGGCAGAACTATGTCAGCGGTGTCTATACAGCGTGAGTGAGCTTTGTCTCACATAGCTGGCAGAAACTACATCACTTGGATGACTTGATGAAAGACGCCACGTGATGAAGTGCCCTCCAGCGTATCTGTGTATCCTGTAGAGGAGAAAGAATTCAGACTGGATTCAAACTTTCAAACGTTCCTCACCGGGTGGAACGACCCGGAAGTCGTGGAAGGGGCGTCATGATAAGAGCTGTAGGAATTCTCTAATGCTAAGGAAAGGAGCTGCAATGCTTCCTTTAGCACAGGAACCACTGGACCATCCTTTACCAAAGGAAGAGAGATCATTCCGTCCCACAATTCCTTGCAGCAGTGATATTTAAATAGTGACGTTTCATTGGGCCGTGAATTTGAGACGAGAACCAACGATCATGATGTAAAAACGCGAGTAACCGTTCATTTAATGCTGCAGCCTCGTTAATAAAGTTTTACTTTGAACCTTGTCGTTTGTGTCGTCTGCAGGACTCACACTGTAAGAGTGACGTCACCAACGTGACCCTTTAAGGTTTCCTTTGAGTGGACACAATGGGATGCACTGGACTGAGATATTGTGGAAACGTGATGCCACTGACCCCACATGCGAGAACCTTTTAAACGGGTCCCCACCGCCTTTATTGTGTTTGTGGACGGCCCTTGAGAGCGAGTCGGCTCCTGTTGTACACGCGGTCACTTCAGAAGGCGCACATGATTGACTATGCAGAGGAAAATATAGTTAATTCTACTCCAACAACAATATTATGTAATGAAGGAATACGATTAATTAGGTCTTGGCCTCTCCCCATCCACATAGTGTGGAACGGGTGGGCTGGTGAATAGACGAACGATTAGCTGGCTCATGCTGCCCTCTGTTGACTAAACATATGTGAAAGAACTAATCACAATTCATCTTTAAGGCATTTTTGAACACACGTTAACCCAGATAGTCGGGTGTGGTGCTGCCCTGGTGTCTGCAGGGTTAGCTGGATACGCCTTGTGTTGTAGAAATAACCAACAACCATAAAACCATTAGAAACAAGGACACGCGTGAGTCGTATAATGAAAGGTCCCACAGAACTCTTCTCCAGCTGAACTGCGTGCATCGACTTGGCCTTGGCAGCTCCCACTGACTCAACATCTCTGTACCATTATGTCGTTTCCCTCTGACGTCTGCATTCATTTACTGTCTTTAAGCATATGAAAACTCTGACTAGGACTCTCGGTACCGATTCTGTTCGGTCCTTCTGCGCAGAGGGCGATTCAAATATACAAAGACACATTTCTCTTTGTATGTATTTCATTAGTCAACCTTCCACCATAAAGACTGCGCTTTGACTCCGTCCTTCCCAGAGCTCACGTGCATGCCGATGGGTGAAGAACAACACAGACCCAAGTGACGTCTAAAGAACAACCTGGGCATTATTTCAGAACCATCGCCAAAGTCAGAGCTCTCATGCCAAGAGAGAGCAAAGAGAGAATCGTGCAGGCATGCGTGAGTCAACAGGCCGATGAAATGTTTGAGGAGCGTGTTTCTCAAGCTCCGGCTTTGTCAGGTGCCGTTGCTTGCTGGAAGCACGACCACGCAGTAGAAAAGCGCCTGGGAAATGTCAACAAGGACTCCGTACTCTGTCCGTACACTGGACAGGACGCCAGTAAACAGTCATTCTGCTCAAACAGTTACCGGCAGCCCCTTTTCTTCTCAGCAGGCATCAAGAAGATGTGAACTTTACAGAGAGCCGCGATGCTTCAGGGGGATACTTGCTGCAGAAAAGGCTTCTGACAATGCCACGCCGGTTGGGTCTGGGAGGGCCTACGCTTACGAGCATGTGCTCAGAGGTACAACAACGCAAGTCCTGGCTTGATTCACGGGAATATCCCCTTCTAGCTAGAAGCTGGTGGACAGTAGCTTCTGTAATAAGCTTATTATTACAGCGTTTATGCTGGAAGGTCTATAGTACTTCTTCTAATTTGAAAAAGTTCAGCGTAACGTTGATGAAACTGGTCGGACTAAATTACTTCCAGAGTCAGAAATACAACTTTAACTTTCTATGAATGAACTGACTCCTCAGATGCTCTTCATTGGGTTTATTGCCACCTGCATAGATAACTCGCATGTCATTGCAGACACCACGTGGACTCCTCTCGACCAGACATCACAGCAGCAGACGTGGGAGGACCTCAAACTACGATGCTACTGTGAGAAAAGCAGAAAGCTTGTCTCAGTTGGCAGAAGAGCTCTGCAGGAAGTCACAGAAGTACAGAACAATCCCTCAGCAGCATTGAGAAGGATGCAGCGCCTTTGTCTCCAGCACTCTGCTGCCACCTGGGGGACGCTGTAGGACGCTGTAGGACACTGGAGGACCGAGGGAGCGGTTTTACAGGTAACTCCAGACCAAGACAAAGCTCAACAATCACAATTGCAGATTTGTGTAATAAGTTTATTTTTAAAAGCTAATCGCGTGGTTCTCCGTGAATCTGATGGCTCGTAGGTACATTAGAGCAGACACGGCTTTCAAAGGTGAGGAGTATTACAAAGGTCAAGGATCAAACACAAAATGTACACAATACATTTGTGAACACAAATTCAGACACATAGACAACAATATTAAGTTAGAGCCTTTTTTTTAATTGTTCAATACTAAAACACCACTGTACTCTACCCACCAACTGAAACGTTCCCCCACCCACAACTTTACTTCACCTGGGTTTTACACACCACCAGAAAATGAGGACAAGACTAGATCTATAAAACAACTAAACCAGTCCATTAGGAAATAATACAAGAAGTTTAAAAAAAAACGATAAGCAATCTAACAGAATTACTTCAACAGGTCACATTGAAGGGAACGCTTATATTCTCTTCATGGCGTCATCGATGTCTGACATCTGGTCCTTCAGCTGGTTCCATTGTTCAGGATTCAGGGAGATTCCTAGAAGAAATGTCAGCAGAGGTCAAACGGTGTCCTTCTACACAAGTAACGGACGTCCATAAGCCGCTACAAAGCCTCAGAGTTCAATGATTTGTCCGCTGCCATTTTTGCTTTTTCTGCGACCAAAGAACGGGAGTGACCATATTTGGACGGCGGAGGAGTGATTTGGAGACGGCGGTCGGTCGTTCACATGGTAGCTGTGCTCTAACGCACACTGCTTGATGGTCTGTGAACACAATGCGGTTTTAAACAAGACCTGACGCTTGTCAAAGAGACAACAAATCAAGTGACAAGCGGGGCCTTCCTTCTAGGCCGGTCCTATCAAGGGTACATCGAATGCAGTACCCTTTTTATGTGCCGGTATTGGAAGCAGAAAACTAAAATCCTCAGAAGTCCATCGTTGCAGCTCCTAGCGTAGCTCTTCAGATAACGGTCGCATGTTGAGAACTGAAAAGTTATTACAGAAACATTTGTTGCATTAGAGTTAATCACCTTTTTTGCCTGGTTTCATCTCTCCATCTTGGTTCATCCAGTACTCCCGGATGTCAATCAGGACTTTACCTTTGAAGTCCCTCACGCTGACGTATCTCATCTTCCCAATCTGTAAGAAACAAAACAACTGTTGACTGGACTTTTCTAGGTAAAGAGTTTTTTCCAAAAGTATAAAACAATACTCGTCCACATGTAAGGTAGAACATTGAATATCTTTTCAGCTGTAAAACACCTGAGCGCACATTGCAAACGGTGTTAATAAAGGTTATTTCATCTTTCAAATCGGTTTCAAGAATTCACCTTAATAAACCGGCTTATTTAGTGCACCTGTCGCACTCACCTGGAACATGTTGTCGTCTGCATTACTGTTGCCCTTGGCTGAGCCACCCGGCTTGGAGCTCTCTCCACTCTTTGGTTTCTTGGCTGGTTTCTCGGGCACACTTGCCTTCTTTCGCTTTGCCTGTGGAAAACATGTTTTAAAACCGTATCCCACATTTTGTGTTTACCATGCATTGTAAATGTAGGCGGAACGTGTAGGATGTTTGACATATTCCAATGTCAGCACAAACCTTGGTCTCTACTTCACTGTCAGAGTCACTTCCAGACGTGGAAGACAGAACTTCTTTTGATTTTGGCATTCTGCTGAGAAAGGGATCACATATCAGACCAGTGTTTCCATACAGACATAACGCCTGGTCATCTGGCCGACAACCAAAAGGAAAAAAACAGCTTACTAAGCTCTGACTTCGCAATCGTGGTTCCTAAACGTAACATAGTTGATACATTGATGAATAAGGAATTAACTTTTAATTTAAAAAAGAATAACTCAAGCTGAAAAAGATATGCATGTTATCGTGAAGCTGGCGGAATATTCTTTCTCCCGCGTTATTGAAGAAGCGTATTACGCCGTTAACTTAGTTCAGAACCTGTGAGGGTTCCGCTGAGTGAAGTGCGCAGGTTATCGGCCCATGGGGACGTGATCATGTGTAGATGCGTTTTAAAGATTTGCGCTGCATTTTACTGATATTTCTCTAAATACGACATCAGGCTTTCAATAACACCGCATCAAACGCTGGCGTCTGTGAAACAGTTAGAACCCGTTTCTGTTAACGTTACCTGAACAGACATTATCCAGCAAACTCGATGCTATCCGAATAGCTTAGCCACGGGAGCTAACGTTACCTGAACAGACATTATCCAGCAAACTCGATGCTATCCGAATAGCTTAGCCACGGGAGCTAACGTTACCTGAACAGACATTATCCAGCAAACTCGATGCTATCCGAATAGCTTAGCCACGGGAGCTAACGTTACATGAATGGACATTATCCAGCAAACTCGATGCTATCCGAATAGCTTAGCCATAGGAGCTAACGTTACATGAATGGACATTATCCAGCAAGCCCGATGCTATCCGAATAGCTTAGCCATAGGAGCTAACGTTACATGAATGGACATTATCCAGCAAGCCCGATGCTATCCGAATAGCTTAGCCACGGGAGCTAACGTTACATGAATGGACATTATCCAGCAAGCCCGATGCTATCCGAATAGCTTAGCCACGGGAGCTAACGTTACATGAATGGACATTATCCAGCAAGCCCGATGCTATCCGAATAGCTTAGCCATAGGAGCTAACGTTACATGAATGGACATTATCCAGCAAGCTCGATGCTATCCGGATAGCTTAGCCACGGGAGCTAACGTTACATGAATGGACATTATCCAGCAAGCCCGATGCTATCCGAATAGCTTAGCCATAGGAGCTAACGTTACATGAATGGACATTATCCAGCAAGCTCGATGCTATCCGGATAGCTTAGCCACGGGAGCTAACGTTAGCAGAACACCGTTGTCTATGCGGTCTCACCGTGAAGCTATATGATATTACTTTTGGTTAAATGGCGCCATTACTAGCTAACATGCCGTTAGATACGGTCCAACTAATGAAACAGACATTCTCGCAACGACACGGTTTCAGGATGTTCTTTAGAAAATGTTAACGCTTACATGATGTGATGGAGTTGTGCAGATCTCAAGACAGGAAACGGAAAACCAAATGACTTCCCGTCGCAAGGTCTGTTTGAGTGAAAAGCAATTGTCTCAAGCAGTTTACATTACAGGGGCGTGTGCGTCATGGTTCATGTGAATGATGATGGGGTCCAACAAGCACTTCCCTGGAAACACTCACCCAAACCAGTGTCTTGGACCCCACGGCAACACTGACTGAATACATTTAGTAGAACATTTTATTAGCTTCTCATGTAGTATACTGGTCCCTTGAAGAGTGTCGATTATAACTGAATGAAGCTGTGTTGAAATGTGTCAAAAACCTTTATCATAGTGAACAAGAGACAGAAAGCATAGTATGCAATGATAACTTTTTCTTGTTATGCTTTCTCACCTCGCCGTTTCCATTGATCGTAGTTTCGTCTGGATTTCAAGATGTGGTGCATCCCTGAGAACAAAAACATTGGATCTGAAATAAGTTGTTTCAGAAATAAAGCTTCTGGGGATAATGTGGTCCCGTGCTACACACAGTCCCTCAGGGGAAGACTGCAGATTTCAGACCTGATATTTCATGCTGTGTTGCACACTCACCTACAGGATTATTACTAAACAACACATTGAGCCATGCCAGGTATGCAGTTAAGGTGAGGAGGAACATTGCCCATTATGAAAAGAGTTGAAGTCTCAGATATGTTAAAGAGAATCATCATGACAAAAGATGTATGATGAAGAAGTATGATACACAAATTTGTCAAGGAGGGGGTGTTTTACAGTGACTTTATTGAAGGTAGCACCGTTATTAAGATAAAAGGAGATGGTAAACTTCTGTTGGACTTTGGATGAAAGGAATGCAATGTTCATTTCAACTATACACATAACATCTTTTACATTATTTATGAATAACTGAAAAATTAAATTAAATTTTTGATGAAAAAAAGGCGATGGACTGCTGATAAATTGTGCTCTGCACGCATGGGTTCGAATCCCATTCTCGTCGCATTTACCTGATGCTCGCTTACCATGTCAGTGTTTGGAGAAAGGCTCAGATCGTCAAGAAAACCTCATTGATGCATTCAACGAGTCATTTTGCAACGACACGCAGGTGCATCCTGCTGATTTCGATTGTGCAGCAGTTGTTTATCAATCTAGTCATTTTCCAATATTCGCAGGCACAAAATTAATTAAGTTTTAGTGGAGAATGCGGGCGTTGATCCCACTACTTCTCGCATGCTAAGCGAGCGCTCTACCATTTGAGCTAATTCCCCAACACATAATGCAAACTTGTGTACTTGACCTAAGTGCCCCCCTGCATTTAACGCCTTTACAAACTTCCCAGGAACATGAAAAACATGCTACAATATTGACAATTATCTAATCATCCTATGAAAACAAAGGCAGTCGGACGAGGTGGCCGAGTGGTTAAGGCGATGGACTGCTAATCCATTGTGCTCAGATCATCAAGAAAAAACACATTAATGCCATTCAACAAACCCTTTTGCAATGCCACGTTGGTGCATCCTGCTGATTCAAAGTGAGCAATGTTTGTTTACAAATCTGGTCGTCTGCATTTAACGCCTTTACAAACTTCCCAGGAACATGAAAAACATGCTACAATATTGACAATTATCTAATCATCCTATGAAAACAAAAGAAATAGGACGAGGTGGTCGAGTGGTTAAGATAATGGACTGCTAATCCATTGTGCTCAGATCATCAAGAAAAAACACATTAATGCCATTCAACAAGTCCTTTTGCAATGACACGTTGGTGCATCCTGCTGATTCAAAGTGAGCAATGTTTGTTTAGAAATCTGGTCGTTTTCCATTAATCACAGGCACATAATTAATTAAGCTTTAGTGGAGAATGCGGGCATTGATCCCGCTACTTCTCGCATGCTAAGCTCTACCATTTGAGCTAATCCCCCAACTCGAAATGAAAATTTGTGCACTTGGCCTAAGTGCCCCCCTGTATTTAACGCCTTTAGAAACTTCCCAGGAACATGAAAAACATGCTACAATATTGACAATTATCTAATCATCCTATGAAAACAAAGGCAGTAGGACGAGGTGGCCGAGTGGTTAAGGCGATGGACTGCTAATCCATTGTGCTCAGATCATCAAGAAAAAACACATTAATGCCATTCAACAAGTCCTTTTGCAATGACACGTTGGTGCATCCTGCTGATTCAAAGTGAGCAATGTTTGTTTACAAATCTGGTCGTTTTCCATTAATCACAGGCACATAATTAATTAAGCTTTAGTGGAGAATGCGGGCATTGATCCCGCTACTTCTCGCATGCTAAGCTCTACCATTTGAGCTAATCCCCCAACTCGAAATGAAAATTTGTGCACTTGGCCTAAGTGCCCCCCTGTATTTAACGCCTTTACAAACTTCCCAGGAACATGAAAAACATGCTACAATATTGACAATTATCTAATCATCCTATGAAAACAAAGGCAGTCGGACGAGGTGGCCGAGTGGTTAAGGCGATGGACTGCTAATCCATTGTGCTCTGCACGCATGGGTTCGAATCCCATTCTCGTCGCATTTACCTGATGCTCGCTTACTATGTCAGTGTTTGGAGAAAGGCTCAGATCGTCAAGAAAACCTCATTGATGCATTCAACGAGTCATTTTGCAACGACACGCAGGTGCATCCTGCTGATTTCGATTGTGCAGCAGTTGTTTATCAATCTAGTCATTTTCCAATATTCGCAGGCACAAAATTAATTAAGTTTTAGTGGAGAATGCGGGCGTTGATCCCACTACTTCTCGCATGCTAAGCGAGCGCTCTACCATTTGAGCTAATTCCCCAACACATAATGCAAACTTGTGTACTTGACCTAAGTGCCCCCCTGCATTTAACGCCTTTACAAACTTCCCAGGAACATGAAAAACATGCTACAATATTGACAATTATCTAATCATCCTATGAAAACAAAGGCAGTAGGACGAGGTGGCCGAGTGGTTAAGGCGATGGACTGCTAAACGATTGTGCTCTGCACGCATGGGTTCGAATTCCATTCTCGTCGAATTTACCTGATGCTCTCTTACCATGTCAGTGTTTGCAGAAATGTCGTCAAGAAAACCGCATTGATGCATTCAACGATTCATTTTGCAACGACACGCATGTGCATCCTGCTGATTCAAAGAGAGCAATGTTTCGTTTACAAATCTGGGTCGTTTTCCATTAATCTCTGGGCGCATAACTAATTAAGCTATAATGGAGAATGAAGCATTGATTCCGGCTACCTCTCACATGCTCAGCTCTACCATCTGAGCTAATCCCCCAACTCAAGATGAAAATTTGTGCACTTGGCCTAAGTGCCCCCTGTATTTAACGCCTTTACAAACTTCCCAGGAACATGAAAAACATGCTACAATATTGACAATTATCTAATCATCCTATGAAAACAAAGGCAGTAGGACGAGGTGGCCGAGTGGTTAAGGCGATGGACTGCTAATCCATTGTGCTCAGATCATCAAGAAAAACACACTAATGCCATTCAACAAGTCCTTTTGCAACGACACGCAGGTGCATCCTGCTGATTCGATTGTGCAGCAGTTGTTTATCAATCTGGTCATTTCCACTATTCGCAGGCACAAAATTAATTAAGTTTTAGTGGAGAATGCGGGCGTTGATCCCGCTACTTCTCGCATGCTAAGCGAGGGCTCTACCATTTGAGCTAATTCCCCAACACATAATGCAAACTTGTGTACTTGACCTAAGTGCCCCCCTGCATTTAACGCCTTTACAAACTTCCCAGGAACATGAAAAACATGCTACAATATTGACAATTATCTAATCATCCTATGAAAACAAAGGCAGTAGGACGAGGTGGCCGAGTGGTTAAGGCGATGGACTGCTAATCCATTGTGCTCTGCACGCATGGGTTCGAATCCCATTCTCGTTGCATTTACCTGATGCTCGCTTACCATGTCAGTGTTTGGAGAAAGGCTCAGATCGTCAAGAAAACCTCATTGATGCATTCAACGAGTCATTTTGCAACGACACGCAGGTGCCTCCTGCTGATTTCGATTGTGCAGCAGTTGTTTATCAATCTGGTCATTTTCCACTATTCGCAGGCACAAAATTAATTAAGTTTTAGTGGAGAATGCGGGCGTTGATCCCGCTACTTCTCGCATGCTAAGCGAGCGCTCTACCATTTGAGCTAATTCCCCAACACATAATGCAAACTTGTGTACTTGACCTAAGTGCCCCCCTGTATTTAACGCCTTTACAAACTTCCCAGGAACATGAAAAACATGCTACAATATTGACAATTATCTAATCATCCTATGAAAACAAAGGCAGTAGGACGAGGTGGCCGAGTGGTTAAGGCGATGGACTGCTAATCCATTGTGCTCAGATCATCAAGAAAAAACACATTAATGCCATTCAACAAGTCCTTTTGCAATGACACGTTGGTGCATCCTGCTGATTCAAAGTGAGCAATGTTTGTTTAGAAATCTGGTCCTTTTCCATTAATCACAGGCACATAATTAATTAAGCTTTAGTGGAGAATGCGGGCATTGATCCCGCTACTTGTCGCATGATAAGCTCTACCATTTGAGCTAATCCCCCAACTCGAAATGAAAATTTGTGCACTTGGCCTAAGTGCCCCCCTGTATTTAACGCCTTTACAAACTTCCCAGGAACATGAACAACATTCTACAATATTGACAATTATCTAATCATCCTAAGAAAACAAAGGCAGTAGGACGAGGTGGCCGAGTGGTTAAGGCGATGGACTGCTAATCCATTGTGCTCTGCACGCATGGGTTCGAATCCCATTCTCGTCGCATTTACCTGATGCTCGCTTACCATGTCAGTGTTTGGAGAAAGGCTCAGATCGTCAAGAAAACCTCATTGATGCATTCAACGAGTCATTTTGCAACGACACGCAGGTGCATCCTGCTGATTTCGATTGTGCAGCAGTTGTTTATCAATCTGGTCATTTTCCACTATTCGCAGGCACAAAATTAATTAAGTTTTAGTGGAGAATGCGGGCGTTGATCCCGCTACTTCTCGCATGCTAAGCTCTACCATTTGACGGCTAATCCCCCAACTCGAAATGAAAATTT